ACACACACAAACACACACTCTTGCTTCATCCCATGTCTTACTGCTCTTTTCTCCACAGTCAGCATTTCTCCAGCAGGCCATTGGGTTTACTCCTGCCACTTCTATTCTCAGAGTTACGGCTGTTGTTGCTCATAAAGCAGGAACGCTGCGCTGTGATGTGGCCAGATGTCCCACGGCTGCCTTGCACAACCCAGTGTGGCGCTTGTGTTGGCTGGATTGGCCAGTGTTTACCCAGGCCCCTGGGGCACGTTGTGACCCTGCCGCTGCCACACTGAGGGGGCGTTTGGCCGTGCAGTCCGTCACCCACAGGAGGGCTTTAGAAGGGAGGAGTTGGTGCTTTTAGCTGTAAACACCCCCATGGCACATTTTTTGTTGGAGTGTAAGGTTGTAACTGTAAATTACACTGTGTGACATACAACTACAGTAGTGACGTGTGTTACTGTACTGAGAGAATGATTCAGCACTCAGTTTACAGATGTTTTCACATACTTGACATCATTCTTGGTGTCAACATCATACAATACAGCTGTATACTAATAAAGATATATACTATATAGTATACTAATAATGGTGTTTTACCTTAGCACCAGAAAATACAAAATACAAAATAAGCATACTAAAACTGCCAACATGCATGCTAAAAATTCTTTATTTTGTTTGTTATATGCTGCATTGTTGGATTGTTCAACAGGAAACTGAAATGTGAGCTCAATTTAATTGAAGTGACTTCAGTAGCAACTCAAAAAATGAATACATGTACTCAAAGTTTACCTGCTATTTATGATGTTTCTTGAAGTGTGACACCCTGCATAGTATACAACATCTATATATTTTAGTAAATAGACAATATATAAACAGGTAAATGCATCAACATCTGTTTTTTTTTAAGCTTCAAAATACTGCTACAGTGCATGTACATTATTGTACACATTATACTTTATAATGTTAATGTGTAGTGTTGACACAATAAAGATCTTTTTGTGAAAAAAAACGTCAAATACATATAAGAACTTAATAAATAAAGTTATGACAAGGCTACTCAGGTAAATAAATCAATAAGATATATAAAATAAAAATCTATAAATTCACACTACTAGGTAGCTTAATTTGGGAAAATTGCTAACCAAAACAAATAAACTATGACTGAAGAAGGCAGTGAAACATATTGCAAATCAGAGAAGATGAGTTTTCTCTTCTGAACTCTTCTGTTCTCAGCCACACCCTGAACATTTCTGCTCATTATTTCTAAACACTTTCCCTACATGTGTTCACGCACTCGTGGCAGGGAGGGATAAAAGGTTATTCATTATCTGTGTGCTGCCCCTCCTATCCTTTACGTGCGACTCTTTACCTCTGGATAATTAATCACTAATGAGGGAGGAAGTCCATGATGTCAGTTACGGTTGTTCTGACATAACCACTCTCCCGCCCCCTTGTCCCACACAGGAAAAGCTGTGATGTCATTGTCGCAGGGTGCCAGTGTGTGCGTGTCTGTGTTTGAGAAACAAATAAATGTTTGCCTTTTATGTGTGAGTTTTTCCCTTTAATAACAAACTCATTGAGTCTTACTATAATGGTGTTGACTAAAGTGACCTACCAGTGGCCAATCATTTCTGAGGCGGCAGTGTGGCGTGGTGTGATGTGTCATATAGGACGGTCTGGTGGCTGCTGGGAATGGCTGGAGAGGAAGGAGTGGAGCTTAACACCAGTTTCCCTCATACAGTGAGTATGAGGGAAACTGGTGTCCCTCTGTCCCTCTGCGGGATTCAACAAGGAGCTCTGTCTCTTACAGCACCCATGATGACTTAATCCCAGCAGGAATGTGCTTCTGGTTTCTCTTACAGTTCTTGTAAACACCTGACCACTCCACCAATAAACAGCCGATCTCCATTGTTCTGCAGCGAAAGGTCGGAATCGGACAGTCAGGAAGGAAAAATATCCCATTGGATATCCAGCGTGAAGCAAAGCAAACAGAAGCCCGCATCTGCCGGCCGGTTCACACCGCAGCTAGTTCCTTTCTGGTTAGCTTAGTTGTTAGCCATAACAAACAGCCCTCACACTGACTCTGAAGAGGGGGATTAGTGTTAGCAGGGGCGCTAAATAGACTCCATATTGCTGTGACATATGAGACAGTGCAGTACACAGTCTCCTGGCAAGAGTGATCAGCAGTGAAACCTGTGCAAATAACCAGTTCATATATTTATTTGGTCATCATATTCAACAAACATACAGCACCTCAAAGTACCCCAAAATCTAATTTTGACAATAAAAGACAAAACTCAAGTTTAATTCATAGTTATTAACAGTCTGTTGATCTAAGGCTTTGCAGTAAATCAGCGCAGTAATGTTTTGTGTGTATCCACTGTTGCTACTACTGACCAGCTCCAGTTGTAGGCTAATCCCCTGGTTTATTTGGGGAAGTCCCATCCATCTCTCCACCCTGAGAGCTCTGTGGTTCACGCTTGGCAGTATAGAATAATATACTGTTATGTTAGGAGAAAAGACCAGTTAGCATTGGGGAAGTTAGAATAGCACTGCCAAAGTCAATGCTGCCCCCTCAAATACTCACACATACAGCCGCTGAGCCCTCTACATGCCTTGGCTTCATCTTTCTGCTTTCGTTGAGGTTGAGCCCAAAAGGTCAGATCGCATGATAGATTAGTAAGAAGATATGTTTTCCATTTATTGGAAAAGTTATTTTCAAAGGAAATCTTCAGATAGCAATGACTCGGTCAGGGGGTGTCAAGGGGATTCGCCAGCATTTCGTAAGATGGAACTCGACATGGAGTGGGCACTTTTTGTTTTTCTGCCTTTCGTTTCGGTGGGTGTTGATGAGAAAGGGTCGAGTGAGAACAGTCTAAACATCAGCTGAACTGTGGCCAGGTGAGGAGCGGAGTCTGATGCCTCAAAACAGAGCTGATGATAGAGTCCTCCACACCTTCTACCACCTTGTGTCACGTGGCCAAAAAAAGGTGCTTCCCTCTTGGCTTCAAACATGTCACGTGTTTGTTGAGGTTTCTACCTTCACTCATCCCCATTGCCGCCCTAAAACCTGTGTTTGTTGTCCCGGGTCACCATGGTAACCAAGAATCTTGTTGACAGAGTGCTCGCTCTGAGCAGCACTAATTGCAACGCCAGTTGAGGGGCACCCCGTTGCCTTTCTCGAACTCTGCCAGGTCTTCTCAGAACACTGCAGGAGGACAATCGAACCCTAAAAATGTTGCTTTACAGTCATTTGACTTAGTTGAACTGCGTGACGCTGCCAGACGCAATTACGTCTTTGTTTTCGATACTAAGATGAACCACTTTTTAATTCGCTCTCGGTTCTGCAATGTGGAGATGGTGCTATCAGTGTTCAAGCACAAGAACAACATGTATAATCTACTCCCCTCTCTTTCTCCACATCCTCCCTTTCTTTCCTCACACCTTTGCGCACCCTGTGCTGTCCATCCATGTTGTTACATCACACCGAATTTAAAAAAGTGACTTTATTGGTCTTTGTCCCAAGCCTCTTCGCATCACATTTCTCTCTCTGCACCCTCCCTGTCAGTTGAGTCAGCCCAGAACGAGGGCAGCAGTCTGTCAGGTGTGAATAGACGCTGTGTTGGCGGAGCCTCTCTTGGATGTAACGCAAATATTCTCCCTTCGTCGAGGCTCCAAAGATCACTCAGAATGTGAATTGTGCAATAATGGTGATGGCAGACACTGACAGGTCTTTGGCCTGGGTGGAATTTGGCCAACCCCCGACCCGGGGAATAGTTCTCCTGCAGAATCAGTATTCCTGAAAGTCAGGTATTTTGTTCATAACTCAGTGCAGATAAAAAGGATGGGTTTGAGATTTAAATGCATTCATTCTGATGTAAACAGGGCTACAGGGTCGACCTAAAGCCTGAAACGTGTGGGAGTGGAGATAGAAATTAAGGGCTGCATTTTTCATTTCAAATCTACCACAAAGCCTTTCACTCCCCAAGGCCATTGCTCAAAGACAGAGTGGGATTACGGGATTTGCAGTTCTGGTTGAATTCCAAAACAGGTGTGTAAACCCTGTGTTGAGGTAACCTAAGGGTTTCTATTACAACTGTGGCAATCAAAATGAAGTCTTGGCTATTTTTTCTTTACCAGCTTTAGAACATGGCCAGTTCAGACAAGCTCAATGACTCAACTGTCAAATATCTGCAAAATACGTGGAATGATTTTTTTGTGTTCAACTTTTTTAAAAGCAGGCGATCTACGGTCCTATTTTTGGAATGTGGCTCATTAAAACAGTCTGGGTTACCAAGTCATTCCACATTTTTATTAAGAAAAGGGAGAACTTTGTAACATCCTGCAAATCACCTTGGAACAGATTGACGTGGTGATGAAAAACATACGCCAGGTCTAAAGTTGGAAAATGAGACTTGGCTTAGGAAGGAAGAGAATGTTCTACCTGTGCAAATATAACATTAAAAACCAAGTTGATAAGTGTTTGACATGATTCAGATTTGGATTTACTCTGCTTTTCAGTTTTTCCAGAGCTAATGCGCCATTGGGTTTAGCCATGACCACACATTATGACTTCAAAATAAATGTTACAGAAGAGTGATTTGAATAAATCACTCTGTGGTTGAATCTCAATTAGTAAATGCTCAAAAATACACTCACAGACGGTAATATAAATGAGTGTTAGTCAGACATCTTGAGGTCTGAGTGTGTAAGGGCCGGGCCGTCACACAGTTTGAAGACAGACTTCATAAGTCACCTTTCTTTAGCAGCATGGTTCTAACAACAGAATCTGTTGAGTAACCAAGGCTAGCAGAGCCAAAATCCCCTCAAACCCACAGTCCCCTCCCTTACTCCCCCACACCAGAGCCCCCAGCTGACAGCTCCAGTCCCCATCCTGTCTGGGCCCACATGGCCTGGCTCTGGATGGGAGACATCTCTGCACATTTCTCCTCACCCTCCTCCTCCTCCTTTTTCTCCCCATACTTTACCCAGCTGTGCCAATGAAGCCCGTGTGTTACGTTTTTCCTGTCGCTTCTCTGGCCAAAAAATGAAAAGGAATGATGGAAAAAAAGAAAAGAAACGGTTAAGTGAGAATGAGAGGGAGAGAGAGAAAGAGATTGAGTGTCCATTTCTGGCATGGTTTTTGCTGTCTGCTCAGTTTTCACGGCCCGTGGTTTTATTAGACTTTCCGCCGGGCCGCGGGCAAGGTTAAACGGCCACCGCTGCCCCGTTTGGGCTCGAAACCTCCTGTTAGCCCCCCTGGCTCCCTTCGCCTGCCTCCACCCCCCCTCCTCCTGGCTGTCCTGCGGTGCCGCTGCCAGTAAAGGAAACACATTAACACCCGGGCCAGTAACAGAGCAGGCTTTGTCCACAGCCAGGCAGGCTGGTCCATTAGGCCCATGCTCTGGTCCACACCGCACCAATTAGAGCAGGCAGGGAGCAGAGCCACTCCAAACAGAGGTGTGAGCTTTACAAGGAGACTACAGGTGTGCTTGGGGGGAAATAATGGACTTTATTACTGATTGGGTGTACTGTGCTACACTGTATCCCTCTGCCACCTTTTTAAGAGCCAGCTCTGCTCTACAGAGTTTTGACAACCTGTGTTTAACCTGCGAACTTGAGTTTTCCTTGGATGTACGATCAAATCAAACCCCTGCCTTCCAATTTACTGTAGTAACCAATCTGGGCTCTTGTTACATTGCCTTGCCCCCCCCTAATATAGTCCTCATACAATAACGAGAGCTGCAACTAATGAAAAATTTAATTGCCATGTAATCTATTGATTATGTTTTACTTTAGAACTGTAAAAACCAATAGTGGGAATCTAAGTTTCTAGAAAGGTGACATTACAAAATTGCATGTTTGAAAAAATATTCGATTTAAAATGATATAAAATATAGAAGACAAAAGGCAACGAGAGTTGTTTACAGCAAAAAGTGATATATGTGTCAAATAGCAAAGACTGACATTTGAGACGGTAACCCACCATTTTTTGAGCTTTTTGCCTGATAAATATCTTAGTTAATTGATTATTTAAAGAGCATTCCAAAACTTTTGTATTGCTTTTCCCTACAGTTGTGAGACTCAAAAGAGATATTGAAGCTGCAGAGGCTAAGATAATATCCTGCCCTCTAATCCCTAACACGGATCAAGGTCCAAAAAACACTATTCTTTACTTCCCATGATGCAGCTTGATATCTGTTTATTAGACCATCCTTTAAAAAGCCCATGTCTTTAAAACTTCATTTCCCCAGTTTGCAACACAGGCTTTCCATTTAAAAAGTTAAGGTAACCCTGGTGACATAACAAGGGGCTGTTTTTCTCCGACTTGAGAAAGTTCCTCCGGAGCCACAGAATACATTATACAACTGTCTCTGGCTGAGTAGTATTCCCCATGACTAGTCAACTGATGTGTAAAATCTGTGGAGTTCCCCTTTTAAAATTCATCAATATCAATAAAGTTTCTGTCCATTGACTAATTGCTTAATTGTTTGAACGTTAGATATGACATGGGAATGCTGTGTGTTCATGCGTGTGTAGCTGTATGGCAAATGATTCACACTGTGCTAAGAGCCTGTCTAGCTGATACGGATTAGAACAAAGCTGACAATCATGGATATGACAGCAGCAGATGAATAGTTGTTGCTTAACATTTGACTACAGTTAGCAGTGGTACCTGCTATAACAGAGGATCTGCCAGGTTAGAGAATGGCCCCGGGGGCCAGATGAGACGATCATGCAAAGTCAGGACAGGTTTGACATCGGAGGGGGTTTCCATCGCCAATTTATCTATGCTCTGTAGACACATGCTATTTCCTAATGCTCGTGTGACTAAATTTGATTCACAGAATTCTGAACAATATATGGATTTTGAGATCAGACTTTATAGATTTAGAAGTAGAGGTCATGCCTGTAGTGTGAGAAAGAAATGGAGCCTTATTTAAACTGTATTAAACTCCAGCTCAACATTGCGACAAAGCAGCGTTGACACGGGGGCCATGTGACCTGCTACCAACACACAACATGCTGTATTTTCTCAAATAAGCGTGTCTAACCTTCTCTGGTCTGCTTTTGCTCAGCCTGCCCAGGGCTGTCGCTTTCCTATGAAATAATTACTACAAATTTGGTGCATTCGCATGATTGGGTTCATGGGATTTTCCTGAGTCTAAATGGAGGCTCTGCTCCATGTCAGGGCAACAGTGATACAGTGTCGAGACAGAGCCGCTGCATTACGGTCAGGATGGGCGCAGAGCTAAAAGGCAACATTCATCTCCGACATGATGAGTTTAAGAAACAGCATGTAGGAGCTCTTAAGAGGTCTCAAAGAGGTTTACGCAAGGTTGTGGGAGATTTATGTAGAGTAGAGATGTTGTGTGGGCTAAAAATAGCCAACTCTTTGATGCAAGCTTGAAGCTTTCCTTTGAAATGATATTTTCACATATCCCCACATATCTGCCATTTTGGCTGTTGAACATAAGACAGAAGAGCCTAGCCAGAGCTAAACCCTTCAAGCTCTAATAAGCTGTTTCAACTGAGCTGGTGGCATTATTAGACATGACACCCTTATATTTAGTGTTGATTTCCATCAGTTTAATGCTGTGTTTGGGTTGGAGGTCTGTTGCATTTATTCGCAGGCTCTCTGCGGCATCTTTCCCCCCGCAGCAGGAACAGAGAACATGACACCGGCTGTCAGTGTCCCGCCAAAGCACCCAAAAACTTCTCTAACCCTTCATAGCGGCACAGAAATAGTCATTAGGAGCTCATTTGTCTCCCCGCAGATAATATCGCCACGTGTGTCTGCTCGGAATGAGGAGCACCGCTGGGCGATCTGGCAGATGACTCGGCTGTCAATGTGGTGATTCTGGACTGGACACTGCACCGGCAGAACCAGGGTGGTCCTGTTTGGTTGTCATTTTTCTGTGGAACTTCCCTGCTTTTTGGCGTTGACAGACTGATGCTCTGAGATTTATCTTGGCGTCCATCCCAGATTTGACACTGAAACAGTGAATTAGAGAAGAAAATAAGAGAGAAAGAATCTAAAAGGATCTAGTGACTGTAATGTGAGGTAGTAAAGAATTGATTTGACTCACGGTGGCTTTTTACTTAAGTTTTTGCTTTGGCTAAAGAGGACTTGGAGCAGCAGTAGAGGTTTGGAAGTATGTCCGTGTGTGTGTGGTGATAGTGTTTATGGAGAAGGTTGGTAGGGATCTCTAAACACGATTTTCAATAAGGAGGCCTCAATTTCACTTATCTGCTCTTTGTTTTTCTGTTTCTATCTGTGTTTGTATGTGTTGGAACTAACCAAACCTCTGTAATATTTATATCCTGTGTAAACTGTAATTGAATTCAGAAGATGCCAACAAAGCATTTTAATGTATGTGTTTTAGGTTCAAACTTTGTGACGCGTAAGATCAGCCGTTCTGTGGCAAAGATTCACCTTGGCCAACTGGAGAGCTTCAGTCTGGGCAACCTGGACTCCAAAAGGGACTGGGGCCACGCCAACGACTATGTGGAGGTAAAACACACAACCATAATCACACACAAGCTCAGAGAAATAGACACAAACTGTGCTTGCACTGCTTGAGTTGAACAGGGTTCAGATGTGCACATAGCATTAAACAAGGCATGTTTTCCCAGATCATTTGAGGCCGCAATATGCGATCTGCATGAAGCCTCCTATGATTCTCTGCCAAAAGAGAAACAGAGATAGAGAAATAGAGGGGGAGCGGGAGGAGAGAGAGAGGGCCGCATGCTGTGAGGCCACAGACTGCACTCTGGTTTCCCACAATTCACCCATGTCCCAGATCCCTTCAGGCCCCCATTGCCATTCCCCGAACGCCCGCAGAAGAAAGAGAGATATGAAGGGAACGCTGCGTCCTGGGGACGATGACAGAAATATGGTGTTTGTGTTAACGTAATGGTGCCAGCAGCAAGCAGAGAAAGGAGTGGGGAGATGAAACGAACAGTGGGGTCGCCACGTCCAGGAGCAGACGGGGCTCAGCATTTCTGAATGTGTGTTTTTACCCGCGTTGTGTGTGTGTGCTTGTGTGGAAGGAAGCACACATTCCTATGCCTATGTCAAAGTGTGTGATAGGTTGAGGTTGGAACACATGTGTGTGTGTGTGTGTGGCTGTTGAGATGAAAGACTCGACGGGTTGCCATGTCTGACAGAAGACCCCTCACTGCGGACCGTGTTATTATTAGGAGGTGATGGTGGCGGAGGTGGTGGGGGCGCTCTTTGAGATGAGAGTGGGGGTGAAGAGGTTACCGCAAGGAACCTCGGTTTAACTGCAGATCACAGCCTGGGGTCACTGCGTCAGAGAAGGGTGGTAGTGAAGCAGTGGCTCTCGCTGTTAAGGCGGGGCGCAAAGGCGTTGATGGCGTCAGTGAAGCATCAGTCATTGCTTGATACGGGAAGACGTTTTATCACTCATATCCGATTGTAATCACACGATCATTTTTGCCTGCGTGGTGGTGAGTCTGACTTGCATGGGGACTGATAAAAAGTTTGTTGTTCTTGAAAACAAATCTTCTTGTGGTATTCGCTGTTACGCAGATGGATTCACATATGACAAAACAAAATAAACTTCCAGGTAATTTTTCACAGATGTGAGGTGACAGGAAGGTGCATCACTTCTAGGTGGAGTGGACTAAAGGCAAAGCGAATTTTAGAGGCAGCAAAGTTGCACAACTTGAGCTAACAGATTAAGCTTATCCTGTGGCTGTATAACTGTACTCCATGAACGTACAGAAATAAGAGGATAAAGGTGAAAAACTCGAGGTAGATAAAAGGGAACTAAAGTTTTAAGTTGAGAGATCAGTCTATGTCTGAGCTGTCACAAAGAGACACACACAGGTCAGTGTGTAGCTAGTTAGCTACAGCTAATGTCTGTACAGTCAGTGTTTGGCTGTAAGGACAACAGTCCAGCAACCACTTTGGTGTGAATAAAAGGAGCAAACATCTTTTGTTTGATTGGCCGGAAACTTTCCTTGATGATTTATGAGTTCAAATGTATTATAAACTGTAAAGATTAGGAACTGTGTAGAACAAAATGCATAGATAAAAGATTTAGGGATGCACTGATAACACTTTTTTCAGACCAAATAGAAGTAGAAGTACTTATATTTAGGTGCTTGCTGATACTGACAACGAACCATTTAACCATTAGTATCAGTCTTTCCTTTTTGCTGTAGCTTTGATTTCGACCTGCCTGTTGTCTTCTTCATCACAACAGACATTCATGGGCTCATGGGAACTGTAGCATTCATAGTAATTTATTTATACAAATATTTATACCCAGAGGCCATAACCTTTATTATTTCGGTGACTTTAATGTTTAAGCAATACTGAGGTTGTCATTTAAAAACAAAATTTAAAATGTAGATTTTCAGTGAGGAAAAACAACTTCCAGAACCTGTGGCTCTGCCCACTTAGCAACTATGTGAAACAAGACTGGTTCTCATCCTTGTACAAGTAAAACTCCGGTTGTTGGGTCACACTCAGCAGGTTTCTTCATCCTGTTATGTTAGTCTGACTGACCAGTTGTGTACTTATGTGTTGTACGTGCAACCCTGTGTTGCTGGATTTGTGTGTGTGTGTGTGTGTGTGTGGTTGTGCACCCGCCTGTCCTGGGCACCCTGGCTTGAGACGCTCCAGGTTTCCTGTGGGAATGGCCGACATTCCAGTTCTGGTGAATCAGCCACCTCCTCGCTGTGTGCGTCTCCAGTTTCGGAAAGGCGGATTTCGGGAAGCCAAACAGAAGCCCGAGGTGCTGAGGGGAACTGATGTGGAGGAAGGGGGGAGAAGATGAAGGCAGGAGGGAAACAGACGTGTGTTTGTGGGACGTTTGTACATTATGCATGAATTAACCATCTCTCCTGCTGAAAGTTCACCACGCCCTGCAGGCCTTCAAAGGCCGCGACTGTCACCACGACCCCCTCTCTCAGTCTTACTTTGAAATATCCATCCAGCCAGCGTCAGCACTATGTTACCATGGCGAAGCCAAACAACTGGCAATTTGTAAACAGAACCATGTGTGTCTGCTTTAGGCTGACAACTGCTTTTCCTCCCTCTCTCGCTCACTCTCCTCACCCCACCCAGGACAGGGAAATTGCTTGTAATTGGCTGTGGATGGATTGCGGGTGGCAGGAGGGGCGTGCTGTGTGTCTGCTCTAACGACGTCTGAAGGCGTGCGGCTGGCTGGGCATCGTCTCAGCCAGGTATCGGGTGTCTGTCCCAGGCAGGCAGACAGACGTGGAGCTGCCCAGCTACTCTCAATGGAGCCCTTTATTATTATTGTTAAGGTATTATGGAATAGATGCCGGGAGCTGAACGCTTTAGTAGAAAATCAACAGATAAAATAATTTAAATCCTCCTGATCTCTTTTTCCTCAAAGAGGTTAAGCTTTGGACTGTTTTACTTTTATAACAGTGTTTGAAACATTTGGCTACCCCTAACCCTAACCCTTTTTTTTTGTTGTTGAGTGCGGTTTCCTGGGATTTGGCGATGCAGAACAAATTTCTGAAACTGAACATGCTGAGGAGAGAAGGAAACCCACAGCAATCAGTCACTAAAGACTCTATCTGAGCAGATAAAGATGTAGGAGCCTGCCATCTTTACCAAGGACTGCCCTCCTCCCTACTCCTTCCTCTCCTCTCAGCCTGTGCCCCCACCCTAACTTGGCCCATGGTGGGTACAGCTGTTTGGAGCCCCCCCCCCC